ATATGCGAATTAGAATAACATCCCATATAAAAGAAAGGTACTCCCCCAAAGACTCTTTGCATAACAGAGCAGAGCCAGCAATACAGGTTGGTTATAACTTTGTAAGGTTTTGAAGTTCTAAGGGCTTTGACTTAAGCTCAAGTTGTGATTAATGTTGTTTTCTCATGGGAGCTTTGGCCAATAACTAAGGGACTGCCCCATGGCCAGCCATTTGCAGGACCGTGCTATGCACTGTTGGTGCAGTCAGGTTATTCCATTCATCCACATGTGCATCTTCTGAGCTCCGGTTCCTCTATTTGCACCAGTTTATCATGAATTTGCATTTCAGTAAAACTGATGAGCAGCACCGGTGCCATAAACACAACTGCGTTAGTTCCTGTACAGAGTTATGGAGCAGCACACTGCAAAACGCAGAATGTGCTGAGCCCAACCTCCTGCGCAGGGAAACAGCCCTTTATGTTCGGCTTGCTCACCTATTTGAAGTGCTGCCATGTTTTTTATACAGCTGAATATTTCTTGCAATTTTATGTAAGAAAATGTGTTTGTATTGCTAGTGGACCTCTGGCAGGTTTGAGTCGTTTTGCCCTCCTGTAAATGACGGTGACTATATACATAGCTGTACATATATTGGCTGTGTGTAACATATCAACAATATCTATACTGTATATACATATACAAATGACTATATATGTATGACTGCTTACATAGCCTGGAAGATTGTATTTGATTTTCACCTGGGGAAAGAATGCTGGCGTAGGCTCTTGACAAATTTTTGTTGCTATAACTATTCCAAGAAGTGGTTAAAAAAACAACAGGTCTTCTCAGTGGAGTGACTTTCAGCGGAGTGGGACATTTAAAAATGATTTTGTTATTTTCATAGAGGTTTCAACCAAAATAACATTCAATTTCATACAAATATTCTGACTAAAATCTCGCACATCTGAAAATTGCAGGCAGAAAGTGACTGTTCATGATGGTAATAATGCAATCTTGATGCTACCTCTTACTACCCAGGTGACGACTTGAGAAAGCTTTTTATTTACTCTTTCTTAATTCTGGTTCAAGTTATGATGATGCTGGCTCACTGAACGCTCAGTGTTTAGGGCACCTGCCGTGTTTGTCAGTGCTGCAGCTCATCTCTGTCGATCCAGGGACTAATGTTGGCCATAAAGGTCTCCTGCCCTGGTGGAACCAGCTTTACACATTAGTAAAGGAGCTGTCTGAACAAGAAAGATAATCCTCCTCTTATAGAGGACTAGAAAAGGAAGGAGGAAAAGGCCACAAGATGCTGAAAATAACAAAATCTTCAGAAAGAATTCCTTTGAGGATAAACAGTACAGAAATAACAGCGGCAGATGAGAAGCATTGCGACTTGAAGCAGGAAGCAAAATAGATTGCTTTGAGGAAAGGTGAAGGTAAAAGGAAGTAACGGAGCCATTTATATAATATCATATAATAACAATATAATGTCATATAGTGTCATATAAATGGAACTGTTCATAATATTTCATACTGGAAAGTATGACCCAAGGTGGCTCCGTGGCTTTGAAGAGCAGCTGTGGGAAGAAGTGCAGGAAGCAGGTCTGCAGCACTCTCGGAAGACTGTGTCTTGAGGTGAGAGACGAGCTAGCATGTGAGCTGATGGGGAGAATGACGCAGTGAAACGTCTGGCCAGTTCATTTTGCATAAATCGGTGTAATTGATAATATCCTGGAATTTAGCATGAAATCTGGCTGTGTTTTCCTTACGGTGAAAATCTGAAGAGGGAAACTGCAGGCCCAATTTCCCAGCCTCTGTAGCCATCAGCCCGGAGGCCAGACAGTCCATCCTTAAATCACAGCTTGTAGAAAGGAGTACTGAAGAGGAACTTTGCACTGAATTTCTGCAACACCTGGGGTATGGCTGGCGTCTGTACTCTGCTCAGTTTGTAAGGAAATGAGCTCCCGCTGCAATAGCTTGGGAATGTACAACCAGAGTTTGCGAGAGGGAGTGACATTGCATCAGACATATTTGCAAATGTTTCTTTAGAAGAGGAAAAGAAGATTTAAATTGCTAGGTCACTCCAGTGAATTACCAGGTCAGGTCACAACTGAATTTACACAGGGGCCTGCGTTTAGAAAAAAGAAACTGCAACCCAATCACACAGCCTACAAACACAGCTGTACTAACCCCTGAGGAAATGCAGCTAATCTTAGGATGAGATGGTGAGATCTGAAGATAATGCTTTCTTGTCACGGATTTTTTTTCTTTTTCTTTTTTTTTTTAATGAATGGATTTCCAGAAGAGATTAAACTAACCACGGTTGGACTGTTTTGGGGGTTTGCTGCAAGGCCCTCTTCTGTGACAGAGCATTTCTGCTATTATCAGTATAAAATTGAATAGATGATTTTAGCTGCAGAAAAATTATTCGTCATGCAAGGGAGGAAAGACGACTTCTGGGAGCTCCAGGGAATTCCCTATATCAATGTAATTTTTTCATGTAATGTAAGCCCACTGACTGCTGCAGAAATCCACAAAAGAGATGCATGTGGCTTTTACATTAGTTTAGTTTTCTGAAGATATGCCCAAGGCGCACCCAGCATTTGATGGTGGCATTCTTCAGCTGTAAATGAAAATAAATATAGGCAAAGAAGGACTGCCTGCTCACCTGCTTTCAAGTATGGGAGGGGTTAATTTGCACACAGAATTAAAATGAACCCACAGTTACATTACTGAGGTAGCGTGATAACCCTAAAAATTGATTTTGGTGATTTTTATGCTAGACTTCTCTAAAATTAGTTTGAGAGCTGTAAAAGACAAGGGTCCTGCATAACAAACTTTAGGTGAAGATGGAAATTAAGCTTTTTTCTCCATAGATTCCCTCACCCCACCCCACCCTAATCCCTGGAGGGTGAGCTACCTGGCTACAAGCTGAAAAGCAGAATGGAGGCCCGCAAGTATTAGGCTGGCAGAACACGCTTGCCCTGAGGTATCTTTGACGTCTTTTGTAAGTCATTTGATCAGCACTGTCTGTCCCGTCTTCTCTTTAAACTCCATTTCTAGCTCTTTTCCTGGGTGAAGAGACTCTCTGTTTTGTGTTCCTGTGTGCGTATGGCGGTCTGAGGGCCGGCAACTGGACTTTAGATGACTGGTCGTAGGAACCTGTGCGTCTGTGGCGTCGGCAACCGGAGCAAGCGAGGATACGAATATCAAGCCAGACTAGCCAGCGAGCAGGTGAAGTGGCTGGGGCCCGAGGCGCGTCTCTGGGAGCGCGGAGCTGGCTACTGGAGCGGCCAGGAGGTCCAGACCAGCTGCTGGAGAGAGCCCGAAAGCTCTGGAGCTCGACCGAGAGACCCGTCTGCAGGCCAGAATTCAACGACAGAGTCAAATCCTGCTCATTGCGACTCCGCACGTTTTTCTCAGACTGATCCTGCAAAAAGGGAACACCGGCCTTTGGTGTGGTACGGGAGGGAAAATCCCATCGGAGCATCAGAAAACCCGATTCCAGACCGTGCGGGAAGTAGGGGAAGTAGTTGGGAATAGCGTAGGACCTGCCCCACAGTAAGTGTTCGGAGAGGACTTTCTGCCGGGCTGCTCACCGTACCCCGGTTCCTGCTAACTCGTATGACATCTGTTGTTTGCCTTCAAGACCGCTGGTTTACAGCTGTACCTCTCCTGCTCTGGTTTTCAGCTGGGGGGTAGGGACTGTGCCTGACTTCAGGCCAGCTGAAGCTTCCCCAGGGGTGGGTTCCTCACGACCTCCAAGCGAAGGAGCAAAGGGGAAGAAAAAGCACGACGTGATTTTTCTGTTGAGCTGCCGAGGGAGATGACAAGCGTAGCTGCTGTACCCCACCATGAAACCTTGGTCTTCAGCGCACCCAAGCACGGACGGGCCCTTAACGGCACTTGGGAAGCGCTGGGTCACCTCAGCTACTGCAGCATCGGAGGGAGAATACACGCCCGTCACCGTGGGCGCCTCTGCGGGCCGCGGAGCCTGAGCCTGGTCCCAGGTGGCGGCGGCGGCGAGGCAGGGGGGATGCGAGTCCCACCGCCCCGCACAGCCCAGCCCTTTTTTCAAACGTTATTTCGTTTCAGTAGCTTCAGTGTCCGAGGCCCGGGCCGGGGGCCCCGCGCTTTGCCCCACCCGTGACC